AATTGAGTCAAGATATGTAGCTTGGTGTGACGGAAAGTATGATATTGCATTTTTCACATTGAAATGAAAATGAGGATTCACTATGCATTTGCTTTTACTTATACTTGCCGCCTAAAAGTTTTTCTCATCTCTATTTGACTGTAGTTTCGACGCCTTCTCTATCTCCTTATTATCTGAAAATGGGTTTCGAGATCGGGTCGTGTGTACCACTTTGTAACATTTTGCCAAGGCAAGATCTAAGCTTATATTCATGTAAATTAAATTTCATAGTTCGAACTATACATTATATGAATATAAATAACGTTACTAATTGTAATGAAGAAGACAGAAGTTTATCTTTCGTATATTAGTAGAGTTTTGATATTATCCCACAGATACTCTAATTATAAATGCAATATAGGCTTTTCTGAAAGTTCACGAATGCTCTGTGACACGGCAACACTCGTGGCAGTCTCGCTGGAGATCCTGATCAAGTTCGGCCTGCGTGAGAATACCTTAATGGAATCATGTGCGAAATGTCAACTATCAGTTTATCATCCCTTGGAACTCTTGATTTGAACTCTTTTCCAAAATCGAAGCTACTTTCTATTTTGGCTTCGAAATCTCTTTTGGAAGCAAGACTGAGTGAAAATTAAGGGTTATATGAGTTTTTCTACATATTTAATTAAAAAAACTGGTTTTAGTGCTTACATCAACTAAAATTACCAAGGGTGACTTAAGTTGGTACTCACGATCCATTGATGCATTCGAAACATTTTGATATAAGTGCACTTGGCCTCTAATGCACCATAAATCCTCTTAGAAAGCCTAGCTTCGCTGATAAGGAGGTGGCTCGTTAGTACCTCCAAAATTGCCCATCTTTACGAAATTGTTGCGATTTAGGGACAACATATGCGCACGCTTAATTTTCCAGCTTGTGTTAGCGACGAGTCCAATTCTTGCTGACGGCTCTGTGGGCCACCAAGTAAGTTTCCTCATCACCGATGGCCTCATCAAGACCATTCTACACCAATAGCCTCGGAAACCTTGGATGGGAATGGCCCTAACTTTGCCATTGAGAGACAATGGATCTACTTTCATTTCGTTTTGGGGGGAGAACGGAAGAGATTCGTAATAGAAATCCCTGGGAACCGGAGGAGGGTTGCCTTCATGTGTCTCCGAAGCGCAATCCTTCGAGCCCAATTAATTCTTGCTGAGCTTTCTTCTGTCATGCGACAGATATCATTTCCGAGACTACCATTAGATTATATTTATGAAATGCATTCATCATAATTCATTAAGGTAATAAAGGCCCGGTAGGCGAATTCCTCTGGTAAAATATTCTCATTCAGGCTGAAGTGGACTGTAGATTCGACTCCGCCTGAATTGGACTCATCAGCACCCCCAACTAGACTCGAACCATGAAAATACGGCGTATAACGTCGACACATTAACCACCACGCCAAGTTGCCCCGAGTGCCTTTGGGTCACAGTGAAGGTGTGCATTTCGAGGAAGGCCAAGCCTATCTGCATATCACATTCTGTAGTGGGATTGCAAATGAAGCAATGTTGTATCTGCTATAGAAGTTATCTTCATTAGGTTCTCGAGACATTAAACAAAATATGGTGAATACATCTCATAAGCATGAGCTATTGGTAGTCTCGAAAGCCTACTTATAAACGAAAAATGAGTAATGTAATAAAATGCCATAGCAACAATCACACTCCATAATTGAATATGGTAAAAGGCCAGGGCTTCCTCAAAATTCACACATTTCCTGTCACTGAAAGGCACTCGTGGCAGTCGAGATTATAACTTGTGTCTCCATAACCCGGGTTCGAGTCCCGATGGGCTGATGAGACCCGGACGAAGTCAAAACTACATTCCAGTCAATCCTGGATGAGAATACCATTAGGAAGGCAAGGCTGTATCAAATTAAAGGGAAAAATGAGGCATGTTCATCAACTTAACGAATTAGGATGAATGCATCTGATAAATATGCTTTATGAATATCCATCAAGCACTAAGCCAAGAAACGCAATAACCGATATGTAGACATGGATGTATTTTATTGTACCGGCAATTTGCTTATAATTTATTCGAAATCTGTCTTCGCGCCATCGGTACAAATGATTGCTTGAGCTCGCTTCGTCTGACCTAGGCTCTCGAAGGACTGTCTGCTTTGGCCTATTTGTACGTCTACTCGGACGGACAAAGGGCAAAAACGCAGGTGCCGGCTTGCACGGTGCTTTGTTAGACGGTAGTCGAGGCAAAAAGGCCATTATTTAGGTCTCTCCTAGTCAGAATAGGTTCGTGGTAAAATGGTAGAAGCCCAAAATTGTTATACTAAACATTTAAAGGCTGGTCGGAGGACGAATAAAAAGTTGAATGTATAAACACAGGATGCTGGCAAAGTGTTACCCAAAGCGACAGTGTATTCAGATAATTAACCAAATGCATCTGATGCATCTCATGCAAAGATCTGGCTGCCTCAAGTGGATGGGAGAGCTCTTGAGCCTAGACGTGTCAACATCCGAGCCTATGGTGTCATACCCAGATGCATGCTCACAACAACTTGCCTACCACAACAGACAGACGCATCATGGCACAGCCACTAGGCTTGCAGGATTGTCGGTAGAATTCATTCTTTTGTCCAGTGAAAGGGCAACAATTTCGAGAAATAACGGCGAGACTAGAAGCAGGCTGCAGGCGGTAGAGAAGAAAGGGGGCCTTGAATTTGTCCCTATCCTTGCAACCAGTAGATATGCACAAATTGGGTGAGATGCTTTGCCCGGTTGCAGCGCAAGTAAGTAATGAAACCCACATCGCTGGGCTGTGAATACTCGCGTCGGAACGAAGGCATTGAAACAGTACTTTTTCATTTTTTGTATATAAGTAGAGTTTTGAGACTCCCAGTAAATCAGTTATATGAGATGTATTCACCCTATTTTGTTTAAGCTGATGAAGAACTGATTGTAGAATTTTTCCAAAGTATAGCTGATGCATCCATTGAATTTCAGCGGGAGTCGAACCGTGACACTTCAGCATGTGAGCTTGGCACGTTAGCCACTCAGCCAGATTGCCACGAGTCCCTTTGGGTCACAGGGCTGATGTGAATTTCAAGGGAGGTCAGGCCTTTTCCCATATCACATTCTTTGGTGGGATTGTCGATGAACTTAATGTATTTTTTCTATAACAAAGAATGGGATGTAGGAAAAGGTCAGACCTTCCTTAACATTACCATCTGCCCTGCGACCCAAGGGCACTCGTGGCAATGTGGCCGATTGGCTAACGTGTCAAGTTCACATGCTGCACTGTCTTGGTTCGACTCCCGCTTGGGGTTTTGATAAGACCGATGCGAGGTCGAAACCGCACTTCACTCTGGATGAGAACACCTTTCGGGAAAGCAAGGTGATGTGAAATGTCATTTTGGGAAAATTCTACTACTTCAACGAAATAAGGTAGTACATTTTTACACTGCATTAGATTTCAAGACTAAAGGAGATGCGGAAGAGTCATGTCTTCATGTACTTCTAGTCGAAAATACTATTGTTGAGCTCATTTTTATTTCGACTATTGTCTGTGATGAAGAGCTTCCAAGGTCGATCCCATCACAATACAAAGTCGGATTTCCCATGCCCAGCTCTAACTTGGCTTAAGTAGAACATTCTTGCGGACACTGTCTCAGAGGCAATCTCCTTCGATTCCGGTGAGAATGTGATAGAATTTTGTTCGCCACATAAAGGACATTATCAGGGCTGGATATCATCCGCACAACCATAGTTAAGTTAGAGAACCAATAAAATCCAGCTGTTTATCACTAACTGCTATTTTGTTGAAGTATAAAGTGATTTAATTAGTTCAAGTCATACACCAGTCTACAAAAATGTGCGTGTGTATGTTTTCATGTATGCGTATATGTACAAAACTGGCTGCGATTGCGCAAAGTAATTTGAACATAACATAAAATCTGTACTCGGCCATGACTACCCCCTCTTTAGATTTTTACCATCACTCCGATTGTGCAATGTTGGACACGCTTCTGGATACGTTGGGTAGGTTTTTAGTAGTGATTCGACCTTATTTTCGCAACTTGGTCGGAGAGGCAAGGGGACGTTGTGAAACGTACCTAGTCCTGTGTCCTCTGCCATAATATTCGCGATTCCCAGCTTCATGTATACGATCTAATTATGGTTAGCTTTTAATCTGTGCGTGAGAGAAAAACAGTGAATTAAGACGTATGGAAGGTGTGATCGTGATTAGAACATGTACCAACAGAAGATTCGTTGAATCGCCTCATTTTATAGGAGGCTCAACAAGCTATCTATTCCTGAGCTTTTCAAACAGGCTAACTTTTTACCGTTTCTTCTCACATTTTATGCGATTCCAGTGGCCTTTTATTTCTTATGCCTTGTCGTAGACGTAGCATAATCAGCAAAATGATAAATTTCATACCATTTTTTTCCCATATCCAGTTTCTGCCTTGCTCTCTCCTATTCTGATTGTTAAACCCAACCTGGCACATTTT